ATGTTGGATGTTCCTACTTCCTCCATTACCAATCTGTCTAAACTTCCGATTCAACCCATTCAAGAGAAATATTAAAAACTGATTGGCGCTGAGGGATTTCTTCGCTGAGAGATATAAGTTTTATGCAAAATCGTTGAAACGGGTTAGCCAGGGATGCAGTTGACCCTCGAAATTTCCCTCCAAGATAGGTAGGCTTATCCTGGGATCAAATACAATCTCACTTTAAAGTAAAAAATGAAATTATCACCCATAGTAAAAATTTCCCCGAGGGCTATAATGTAATCACAATTTCCACAGACGGCGCACACTTCCCTTACTACTGCAATCCTTAAAAATCAAAACTGGTAAACCTAAACAAGCACAACTCTTTCTGAATCGGCCATACCTTAATGAGTCCTCTGCGGCAGCGTTTAGGAGACGACTTGCAGCAGCAATGCGTTCCCCGTCTTTGTTCATGGCCTGACAAAATGATGCGGAATCGCAATGAAGAAGAGCGAGACATAGTCTGGTTCTTGACAGCTCGTCCACCGAGACATTACCGCTGGTGTTGGGATGCAGATTCGACAACCTGGAATTGATACGATATGAAGATATCAATGGAATTTCTCTTCCCTACTTAAAACGCTTTATGCTGCTTAATTATCGGAGTCCATATGGGTTTTGGTTCCAGGTTTGGTAGGCTTTGATTTGTCAGAGTAGTCAAATCTCATTACAACCCACCATGCATTCGATTTCTTTTCGGAAATCATTCCAGAGAAGGTCTTACGGGAGTAACTAGGGTCTTCACAACAGCGTTCCAGGTGCAGTTAATGTACAAGTCAGTATTTGATACTTTGAAGGCACATTTCACAATAGTTTTGGGGCACCTAGTTTCAGACGAATAGTGGAATAGTGAATGCTGCAAAAGGGGCGGAGAAAACTGGAATATCGGTGTGTTTCGAGAAATATAAGGCTTCGAAGTGGGGGCTAGACGAGAATATGACGACGAAAATTGCATGGAAGGGGACCTTAGAGGAACGGCCCAGATGTGTGTACCATTGAGGACAGCTGACTACAGTAAGCTGCCTGGGTGCAACGTGTGCGTATTTGTGCGGTTGGTGCAACCTCTACAACGCCGTGAAAACTCGTCCGCCTTTGGGTGTGTACGTCGCCTAAGACGGTATTGCAGCCCTTATCGCGCCCTATCTAGACCGTCTTCCGACCCGACACCGAGCCTTGTGCAGTCCTGGAGGTAACAGGTTCATCCCAGGGAGAAATCTCGGAAACCACTCTTATCGAGAAATGTGCCTTCAAGACGACTCCAATATCTTATAAGACGTGCACGACAGGATCGAATGGGATGGTAGAGCTTCCAAGGCCCGACAACCGGATAAAGCGGGCAAAAAGCACCACCTTCATTGCCCCATTTTTACATCAGGTAAGACTGACGAAGAGGGGTACATTGAAATCACTGCAATGCAAACTAAGCTAAGAATAAATACAAAATGCCGCTCCGAATGCCACATGCACATGTCCAAATTTTTGCATAATATAGCCTTTAGTTGTATTTGTTTATGCAAAACTCATTTATTGGAGCGTTTCTTAATGGAGTGTTTTCTTGGAAAACCTAGAATCTAAGGCCAAATTCGGCTATTCTACTCGAGAATTCTGACCAAACCTGACAAAAAAGCTCAGAACTAAAAATTGTAAGAAATTTCCGAAATAAAACCGACATTTCGTTAGCATAAGCTGAAACTGCTGAGCAAGATTCCTGCATCGCTACATGTTAATTTACCTTTCGATGACATCAAACAATTCAGCCGCCAATGACTCTCTGATTCGTTCCGACTGCGAGTCCAAATCCACTTGCTCGTATCTTCCACAACATTCCCGAGCATTCTGGACTCCAGCGTAAAACTTCGAAATACATCTGACAAAATTTCCATGGGAATGGTATAAGGCTAAAAATGAATTTCTAGACAATAACATACTCTTGAAGAGCAGAAGAAATTCCAACTCCCGTGAGGGGATCGAACTTATTCGACGTCTTCTCAAATAGAGGAGGGGGCGCAGTGTTGATGGACTTCAACTGTTGAATGAGCTGATTTT